AAAAATTGTGACCTCTGTAGGATCCACAACCTTGATATACCATATTTTTACGCTATTTGAGAACGAGGGGCGGCCATTTTGTCTGTCAGTTTTGGGCCGATTTTCACGATATTCGAAGTCAGCCATCCTTAGGGTGTAACGGTGATATAATAATACGGTTTTTAAAATCCGATAAAAATTATGACCTCTATAGGGTCCACAAGCAAAAAACGTGATTTTTTATACAATCAGGGGCCATAATTCAGGAAGTTACATTCCCATATGCGCGAATATCGAAAGGAACCGAGATCTTTGGGTTATAAACTTACATTTCAAGTTTCAACAAAATCGGATAGGGTTCACAAACTTGATATACCATATTTTACGCTATTTGAGAACGAAGGGCGGCCATTTTGTCTGTCAGTTGTGGGTCGATTTTCATGAAATTCGAACTCAGCTGTCCTTGGGGTGTAACGGTGATATAATAAAGTGTTTTTTTAAATCAGATAAAAATTATGACCTCTATAGGGTCCACAAGCTGAAAACGCGATTTTTCGTACAATCAGGGGCCATAATTCAGGAAGTTACAGTCCGATATGCGCGAATATCAAAAGGAACCAAGATCTTTGTGTTATAAACTTACATTTCAAGTTTCAACAAAAGCGGATAAAAAATATGACCTCTATAGGGTCCACAACCTTGATATACCATATTTTTACGCTATTTGAGAACGAAGGGCGGCCATTTTGTCTGTCAGTTTTGGGCAGATTTTCACGAAATTCAAACTCATGCGTCCTTAAGGTGTAACGGTGATATAAAAATACGAATTTTTAAATTGTGTAAAAATTATAACCTCTATAGGGTCCACAAGCTAGAAACGCGATTTTTCGTACAATCAGGGGCCATAATTCAGGAAGTTACGGTCCGATATGCGCAAATATCAAAAGGAACTGAGATCTTTGGGTTATAAACTTACATTTCAAGTTTCAACAAAATCGGATAACAATTATGACCTCTATAGGGTCCACAACCTTGATATACCATATTTTTACGCTATTTGAGAACGAAGGGCGGCCATTTTGTCTGTCAGTTTTAGGCCGATTTTCATGAAATTCGAACTCAGCCTTCCTTAAGGTGTAACGGTGATATAATAATACGATTTTTTAAATCGGATAAAAATTATGACCTCTATAGGTTCACAAGCTAAAAACACAATTTTTCGTACAATCAGGAGCCATAAATCAGGAAGTTACGGTATGATATGCGCGAATATCAAAAGGAACCGAGATCCTTGGGTTATAAGCATACATTTCAAGTTTGAACCAAATCGGATAAAAATTGTGGCTTTCTACAGTGTTCACAAGCTAAAAACGTGATTTTTCGTACAATCAGGGGCCATAATCCATGAAGTTACAGTCCGATACATGCCAATATCGAAAGGAACCGAGATCTTAGGGTGATAAACCTATATTTCAAGTTTCATTGAAATCGAATAAAAATTGTGACCTGTAGACTGTTCACAAACAATTGTGGACGGACGGACAGGGGCGACGACAATATACGTCCACATGAAAATGTGGGCGTATAAAAACTGGCATCTGGTGAAATGGATAATAGATTTAGTGGGTCTAGTTCTGGAGCTTTTACATCATGTCCATGTGAGTCTAAAATTGCTCAGGGTCTCGACGTTTTACCAAACATAGCCCCACATATGTAGTCTTGAGCTCATTGCCTACGACCAGCTCTTGTAGAAAAAGTGTAAACAAATTTGGTGCAAAGTTTGTCATTTCACCCAAAGACTTCATTGTTTCTGGTCCAGGTAATACTCTTCTGGATGTGATAGATTTTTTTAATAATCTTGCTGCAGATTAGTGTGGCTGCTGTTTTGATGAATCTCTTCTGGTCGAATTCAAAACCCCCCTTTTCTTGATTATCATAAAATTCTCGAAAAATCGTTTAATCAGTACATCATTTCGGCCGTTCACATTACTAATAATCACACGGTACCACTTTCCTATCTACCCATAATATACTGAGCGCCATGGAAAACGCATCACTTAGTTTTTCGTATAACAAAATAATCCTGTAAACATATCTTATTTATTTTGCTTCTTATTGTGTACAATATCCAAATGGGAACACATCAATAACAACACATTGGAACACTTATGGATGTTTAATCTGTAATCAACGGTACAAAGTCAGAGGGGTCAAAACCAAAAGTACGACACAGATGTCAGTAGCGCGCGTGTCCTCCACAGGCTCTTACGCACGCTGTGCAGCGACGTCGCATGGAATTTACCAATGTATGAAAGAAGGCCTGGGGCAAATTGTTCCATTCTTGGACAAGAGCAGCTTCTAAAGCAGCAATGGTGTGCATCTGTGGTCTCCGATACAGATGGCGTCCAATCTCATCCCAGACATGTTCTATCGGTGCCATGTCCGGAGACATGGCTGGCCAGTCCAAGACATTGATGTTGTTAGCAGCCAGGTAGTCCATACTAAAACGGGTGGTATGCGGACGTGCATTATCCTGTTGGAAGTGCTGAAGTTGTGGGTGCGCTCGAAACATCGGAACAACAATTGGTTGCAAGACATCATCGCGGTAGTCTACAGCATTAACGTGACCCCTGCAAATGTGTAGGGCGGTCCGGTGATGAAATGTGAAGCTTCCCCACACCATTACACTTCCCCCACCCCATCGATTCGTTTCAAAGACGCAGCAGTCTGCAAGACGTTCCCCAAGACGTCTCCACACACGCTGACGGCCATCAGCGTGATAAAGATGAAAGCGACTCTCATCACTGAAGAGCACATTTTGACAGTCTACTATTCTCCATGTCTGGTGTCCTTGAGCCCATATCAAACCCCGCTGACGGTGATGATCCCTGAGGATAGCTCCAACATAAGGTCGTCGTGCACGGAGTCTTACTTCTCTTAGACAACGTCTTACGGTGTTGGCACTTACTGGTCCTTGTCTTCCGACGACTGCTGCACCTGTTCGAGTCGCTGGGCAGAATCTGTCACGCAGATGAGTGACCCAGATGTAGCGGTCTTGAGTCTGGGTTGTAACGCATTGTGGACCAGGACGTTGACGGTCACGTGTTGATCCAGTAACTCGAACACATTCCACCAACCTTACAATAGTGGACTGATGACAATTGAAGTGTCTGGCAATAGCACGTGTAGACATGCCAGCCCTGGACATTCCCATGGCTTCATTCCGTTGATTTTCAGTAAGTCTCAGCATCTCTAACTCGATTCCTTCACACGTCCAACAACAAATTACGACAGATTGACATTTCACAGTTCATGTACAGCACATTAAGTTGAAAACATGCTTTTAAAGGGCTCACACACAATGCTGCACATGTATATTGGGTTTTTCATGTGCATCTCGTGCAATTTTTTTTTGTGCACACGGGTCGATATTTTTTTGCGTTTGGGAGCATTGTGTGAAACAATAGTTCATAGTATTGCATAATATTATACATACAAAACCACCTAGTAATAAAATATTTGGGGGAAAAAAGTGATGCGTTTTCCATGGCGCTCAGTATACATTTGCATGCTGTAAGCTCAACCATTCCCGAAGTATTACAGTTTACACAGCGGACATATCGGATTTATGCTAATTATTGGACGCATGACGTTATAACTTTCCTATCTACCCGTAATACATTTGCATGCTGCATGCTCTAAGTTCAACCATTCCCGAAGTATTACAGTTTACAGTTTCCACAGCAGACATATCGGATTTATGCTAATTAATGGACACATGACGTTATAACTTTCCTACCTACCCATAATACATCTGCATGCTCTAAGTTCAACCTTTCCCAAGATATTAAGAGTTTTAAGGTTCCAATGGTGGCCAAATTGGATTATGGTAATTATTGGACGTATGATGTTATGACTTCACAGGGTGTCATTTGGCTATGTTTTTCTGATTCTTTGGTATCACTTTCCTACCTACCCATAATACATTTACACCCTCTAAACTCAACCATTCCCGACATATTGGAGTTTTAAGGTTTCAATGGTGAGCATATTGGATTTATGCTAATTATTGAACGTATGACGTTATGACGTCACAGGGGCGTCATTTGGCTATGTCCTTCTAATTCTTTGGTATTACATGTACTTTACTATCTACCCATAATACATTTACTGTTGCAATTTGTTCTAGGTATCCACTCCATATGGCTTATCTTAACCCAACTATAACAATTTTAAATATAAACATTACAGTAGTGACTTTACTGGGAAATCCATATCTTTATTCACCCTACTTTACAGGGGAATAAACAAATTGTTCATGTGCTTATTCACAGATTGCTGTATAATTATTTTCTAACTCAATGCTGAATGGCATGACCGGTTTACAAAGTCAGTTTATATTTGGATAAATCTCAAACAGTAGCGACTCAATAAACATTCAAACTAGTACATACAAAGAGTTTTGGTTATCTATAAATTGGGGCCACGTTACGGAATAAAACCAAAAACACCATTTTTCTCAAGTAATATCTTTTTTAATTCCCATTGGGTCTGGGTGTAGCGGCCGCGGGTGCCAATCTTGGTGGTAGTAGCAAAGGGGCCCTTCAACAAATATTAGCAAAGATTGCGGTGGTGCTGGTTTGTTTTGATGCTGAATGTTGACAAATTTTCAGTTAATCATATCTTTGTATGTACTGAACAATTTTTAGACTGATATATTAAGTTTTAAGTTTATAAATTTTGGGTTCGATCTGGGTTCTAAGGGAATCAAGATCGAACTTTGGTTTAGCGCTCGTTACTGCTGCACATCAACATTCAAAGGCGCTTTACAAAACACACAAATATTGAAAAGAACATTACAAACCTAAACATGTAGTACACAATATAGGACAGTGGCAGTTAAATCCCTTTTAGAGATTCAATTTCACACATTTTTGTATTTTGCACAGGATTAAAAATTCCTCTAATGACTGTGGTTTATAAATATACTTACATGTTGTCTCCGCGGATTATATATAGACCTAATATAACTTGTTCTACACCTTGTCCAGCACTATATACCCTCTCATGACTTTCATCTAACACTAGATTTATTGTCTGGTCAAATCCTTTCAATGTTCCCTGCATAATCATAAAAATAAACAGATTGATTACATGTAAGTTTACACCATCTTTCTAGATTATTTTTCACTCATTTCTAATGAAAAATAACTACCAAATCCAATAGTTACAATAATTTCTGAAAAAAGTCAAAATGTTGTATCTGGGTTTTGCCAAATTGTTCAGGAGCATCCCAAAAAATCTAGCTGCTGAGATTCAAGATATTGTACTAAAATGTCGCATTAGAATGGTGTATTGACATATACTGGAAGTACCACATCTTTATTCAACCGTGCTTAAAGAAAAAGAAGTCAAAGACAGAAATTTATAGCTGTTCGCACTAATAGTGTGGTATAACAAGTCATCCCGTAGGATTTGTATGCTAAAATTGATTTTTTTGTTGTTTTGGGTTGGTGTTCGACCAAGCTATCAAATTTTCCGACCCCTTGTCCCCCCTGGGAGAGGCATTTTTGAAATTGGGACCCCTATGAATGAGGACATGGCTAGCTCCGCCAATAATGGTTGGATTTTCATGATCTGAAGTTCATTCTCGTGTTTTTTCATCATGACGATCCCATCTATGATACACTTAAAGCGATTGGAAGTAATTTTCATTGACTTCCGGGGGAGAATACCAATTTCCGGTGACAAATTTGGATTGATTTCAGCCAATAATTTGTAGATTTTCATGATCTGAAGTTTATTCTGGTTTTTTTATTTTTCATCAGGCCGACCCCATCTATGATACACTTAAAGCGAATGGAAGTAGTTTCTATTGACTTCTGGTGGGAAATGCCAATTTCCGGTGTCAAACTGGGATTGATTTCAGCCGATAATCATGGGATTTTCATGATCTGAAGTTCATTCTGGGGTTTGTTCATCATGCTGACCCCATTCTAGGGTTCCAATTTTTCGACCCTTGACCGCTCTGGGAGGGGCCTTTGTGAAATCCGGACCCCTCTGACCGAGTCCATGGCAATTTCTACCTACAATGACATTGTTGGATTTTCATAATCTGAAGTTCATTCTGGGGTTTTGCCATCTATGATACACTTAAAGCAAATGGGAGGAGTTTTCATTGAATTCCGGTGGGGAATACCAATTTACGGTGTCTCAGCCTACCACTTTTTGTGGATTTTGAAGTATGGTAAAATGATTAATATGGTCACTTTTGGGTGACTGGAATGTTCTGTCATGAGATTCAAGACACTTTGACATTTGTAATAAGTAAACAAGTTTAATATCAAAAACAAAAAGAATCTTAACAAGCAAGATCCTATCTTAGAAATAAATATATATATCAATTATTCATCATCCTCATCCTCCTGTACACCCCTATCATATTGGTATGGTCCCTATCAAAACACACACAGAAAGATGTATAAGGCAGACTGCATCACCCTGTGCAGCCTGTTTTACAACCACATTTTGTGAGTTCAATTACAGCACGATGGGCAGGCAGATTAAGATTCGGCACAGGAAAATAAATGCCCTTGTCCAACTGCCAGACGCTTTTGTTAAATGGCAGGAAGATTCATGTATCGGGTTAGGTACGACTTGTCGCGTATCGCTGTGTACTTTGTTCCTGTGATATGGGACGACAATGCAGCACGAGTCAGTGGAAGCATCTCTCTCTCAACCAAGTTTCCTGAACTGAACAATTGCCATCTAAGTGCCGGTAGGTTTAATGGAACAGATGAAGAGTAGACTTGGCAGGCAAATCTCTTCAATTCCTTGACCTGCGAAGGCAAGTCAACCTTCTCCAAACTTCTTGAAACAGATGATAACGGGGTCATCACCATCAGGCTTCATGTATGCACCAGCCCTTGAGACTTATATGATTTCCAATGACACCCTCTCACTCGATCACATCTATCTCTAGATCTGTGTTTTGTGGCCTTCTCGGTTACAAACTTGAGATGACTGCGAATACCGAGACGACCTGGGAGAATTGTCCATGAGAATTGTGAGGGCATCGGTGTCACGTGACCAAACACATGCTTCCTGCCAGTAACTCTCAGCTACAGATGATGAGAACCCTGTGTGATGTAGCCTGCTGTATCAAACAGGCTAGGATATGCTGTTGAAGGAGCAAAGGCTCAACCAGTGTCATATGGTAGCCTGGTTGATACAGCACAGGCTACACCATCCAAAGTTCTTATCATTTATGCTATGGCTGTACGTCAGAGTATGAAGAAAACATCAAACATGTAGAAACTCCCTGGCCTACAAGTGGCATTCACCATGCGAATCGACTCAGAAGCCACAAAAAGTGGTACTGCTTGATAGATTTCTCTAAACTGAAATCGATCCGGAAATTGGTATTTCCAACCGGAAGTCAATAAAAAACACTTCCATTCGCTTGAAGTGAATCATACAAGGGGGCGGCAAGATGAAGAAAAACACCCAGAATGAACTTCAGATCATAAAAATCCAAAGATTATTGGCTGAAATCAATCAGAGTTTGACACCGGAAATTGGTATTTCCCACCGCAAGTCAATGGAATCTACTTAAGTGTATCATAGATGGGATCGGCCTGATGAAAAAAAAAACCAGAATAAACTTCAGATCATGAAAATCCAAAGATTATTGGCTGAAATCAATCTGAGTTTGACACCAGAAATTGGTATTCCCCACCGGAAGTCAATGAAAAGTACTTCCAATCGCTTAAGTGTACCATAGATGGGATCGGCATGATGAAAAACCATGATAATGGACTTCAAATCATGAAAATCCAAACATATTGGCAGAGATAGCCATGTTCTCGTTCAGAGGGGTCCCGATTTCAAAAATGCCCCTCCCAGAGGGGTCAGAAAATTTGAACCCCAACATTTTTGGATAGCTTGGTCCCTAATCAACCCAAAACAACAAAAAAATCAATTTTAGCATAAAAATCCTACAGGAGCTGTTTTGATGACATGTCATACCACACTATAAGGCTTGGTTGTGTAGTAATAGACAGGTAAGTAAACAACCATAAAAAATACTAGCTACTTTCGATTTGCTTGTAATTGTAATGCTTTGTAAAGCCTGGCGCACACTATGCGACGAGTTTGGCGACAAATATCGCCGCAACACAAGTGGAGTGAGCACATTACACGACGACTGTGGCGATCACGGAAAAAAAAAACCTGTCACGTCCTTCGTCATGTGACACCTCTAAATGCATTTAAGTCGTCATCGCTTTGAATACATAATGATCAGGTGTTGTCGTCGCCGTCTTAGTACATCGCCAGTCGATTGCTGTGCGATTACAGTTTTCTAAGTAGCAATCTCAAATTGGGCGACTCTGGTATATATAGAAAACAGGCTACGTGAGGATGTGTCCAAAAACATTCCAAAGTATCCTAAATATAATTAATCCCCTCATTACCAAACAAACAACCAAGATGAGACAACCAACAAGCCCAGGAGAGTGATCGACTGTCACCATCTAAATCCTAGAAATATATTACTATCGAGTATATTGCTATACAAACGGAACAATCCACTGGGCCTACCACGCATACGACAGCTCACACATTTAATAAGTGTCAGAATTAAAAACTTAATTTCAATTTGTTAGTTAGGCCTAAATTAGATTACCCGAGCCACATACATGCAACAGAAAAAGATTCCGAGAAACCTTGTGTGTGGTTATGTCACATGAGAGGAATAACCAAGGATAGGATAGGTTGCCAGGTAACGAAACATATGCATCAGAACAGCAGCTAATCGTCCGGACAGTCAACAAGTGTTGTCACATATTTTTACTTTTTTCGGTAATGAAACATTTATAATACACGTACACTAAAATCTGATTAAGATAATAAAACTCATGAAGTAATTATAAGAAAACTATTAGAATTTGTTTGGTTTTTATAAAGTTCTGCCCCATGCTAACATTTAATTTACAAAACTGTTCAAGTCATAAAAATTTACTTGTTCGTATCAAGATTTTAAACTCTGTGTATTAATTTGAAGTCAATTGGATGATAACTTTAGTCTCTAAAGCATCACAAGATTTTTCAAAGTGATCAAGGGTCATAACTTTGGCAGTAATTATCGGAAATCGTTGAAAATCAATAGAATTCTTCGTCTTCTGACCTCAAACTCTGTGTATAAATTTAAAGTCAATCAGATATTAACTTTAGCCTCTAGAGCATCCACAAGATTTTTTGAAGTGATCAAGGGCCATAACTCTGGCAGTAATTACTGGAAATCACTGAAAATGAATAGACTTCTTCGACTTGTGACCTTAAACACTGTGTATAAATTTAAAGTCAATCGGATATTAACTTTGGCCTCTAGAGCGTCAACAAGATTTTTCAAAGTGATCAAGGGCCATAACTCTGGCAGTAATTATTGGAAATCGCTGAAAATCAATAGGCTTCTTCGTCTCATGACCTTAAACACTGTATATAAATTTAAACTCAATCGGATATTAACATTAGCATCTAGAGCGTCCACAAGCAATTGTCGACGCCGGACGGACGGCGGGGGCGATGACAATGATTGGTTTAATAGGTGAATTTATTTCCTTGATTATCACTTAACTTGTCACCGAGGTGAGCACATTACACTATTTGTTGCCAACAAAGCGATAACTTGGGCGATAACATCAAACGTGTCTGATATTGGCGACAAAAAATAGCTAGCGACTAGTGCTGATATCAAGTATTGATGCATCGCTGATGCATCGATTCGGCTGACGCCGATTCCATTCTCAGTCCTTTTTTGTTTTATCGATGCATCGGCAAAAAATACTAATAATTAGCTTTCTGTGTCCGAGGAGTGCGAGGACTCCGAGGAGTTCACAAGTTTGTCCACTAGAATAAAAAAAACACCTTTTCAATATGTTTTTATAATTCAAAATAAAACATTATATATGTAACGGAACAATTCAATGAATCCCGCACGAACTATTATTAGGCTTGACCTGTTTACCCTACGCTTCTGTTATGTTTGTCTCCATTTTCCAGTGACTACAAAGACTGCGTTTGCTGGTTACGTCCCCTGGCTATCCTGTCCTTTAACCCCA